TGCGCACCTTACTACACACGGGCGGCAGGCTGCTCCTCGGGGACTTCCGTATTTATCCCCGCGCACAAAAGGCTTTTTGTCGCGAGCAGAGTCAGCCTGCCCCGGCCATCCCGGCCCCGGACTTCACCGCAGCTCCGCCCCAGTGCCTGTCTTTCTCCGGGTGGCTTTCAACTTCCTCATTGGCGAGCCAGGGAGGCTCCAGAAAGTGCTGAGCCGGCACGCTGAGCCTGACAGCCCTCCACCACCCCCGAGCAGCCCGAGAAATCCAGAAGTAAATCAGCAGAAGATGACTCAAGACTTCTGACGGGCCCTCCTTTGCCACCGAAATTATGGTCAGAAGCTGTGCCGTCCAGGCCAAAAAAAAAAACAAACCCACAAACTAGCAGGGCACGCACACATCAACGGCCACTCTCAAGGCCCGAAGCAAAGAAACAAGTAAAGAAGAAATAGATCATCTCAAAAGGCCTGGAACTCAAAAGCAGTTCATTTACTGCCCTTGAAGATTTTTTTATTTTTTTTTTTGAAAGTGCTTTCTTCCGCTTCCCTGCAGGTTTCATCTGGAATGCAGATTTTAGCTGCCCGGGCCAGAGTAGGAAAACCAACGCGACTGGTTTCAGGTTACTGCTGCTCTAGCTCAGCCCTGGTGTCTCAGTGTTCCACAAACAGGTACTTAGGCAAGCACGCCCACCACGCCCAGTGTCCACCAGCCCTAGGAGGGTGGCAGAGTAAACAGCCCCAGCCCGGCAGGAATGATTACCCTCGCACTCCCTGACAACCTCAGGCTTCTTCAGCAGCGCTGGCTTCCTGGCTTTCTTAGGAATCCTGGTGGCTAAAGGGCACCTCTCTCTGCTTCAGTGATCCCACCAACGAAATGAAACCCGGTGTGGTACAAGGTAACACACAACCTGCCTTGTTAGGGAAAGCAATTCACCAAAGGTCCCCAAGGAGCCACGTTCCCCTAAGGGACAAAACATCTGAAAGGTCTCTATCAGCCAGGTCTCTATCACAGACCCAATTTGCCTAAGACAAAAACCGGACAGACAAAACCACCACCCGCCATCAGCTCAATGTAGTTCGCAACACAGATTATAGGCTGGGGACCTTGGCAACTGAGGTCGTGGAAAAATTGCAGCCCTGTTTCCCAGCTGCCTAGTTGCCTCTTGGGACAGCTTCCTGTCGTACTTGAAGGTCTCCGTCTTTCTCTTTCAAATCCTGTCCAGTCAGCAGGCATTTAGTAAGCACCTGGGATAGAGAAGGCACTGTGCTGGATCAGGAGAGTAGAGCCGGCTTAATAGTTATCATGGCTTAATAGTTATCATGGCTCAATAGTAATCACCGGCTCACTTTGGGCAACACTGTAAGAAGATTGAGCCCAAGTGTTAAATGTAAATAGCAATTTATTCTGCAAATCAGAAGTTGTTGCCACAAGCCAAATGGCAGTCTTGCCTTCTCTGCAAGCAGGGAATGGCTGAGGGTCCCACACTGATAACTTGTATCATGTTCCCCAGTAAATATTCATACTGAGGAATGCTGATTACAATAACACATTTCTCTAGCAGTGTGTTCGAAGGGGACTCTCCCACAAAAAGGGCACATAGTATATTCCATCAATCCCTATGGGAGAGTTAAAACAGTACTTTCTAATCCCTGACTTGACCGTGTGTCTAAATGGATACTTTCCTGTTTGCCACTGATCCTAGTATATTTTGGGATTATTAACTAGGGCACAGACAATCAAAAAGGGCCACTACACACATGCAAATATTCATTGGTGCCATTTAAGGCTCAGAACCAGCTTCCTGTCTAGAGAAAATGTGCATTGATAAAATCAGACTTCCGCTGCTTCAAGGCTGAGGAGAAAAGGAATCATCACACCAGCCAGTAAGATCAGTCCTCCGATATACCTGTGAGGGGAGGCGACACGGCACATGCTGCGTGTTTTCTTTCTTTCACTGAGAAGGCTCCCCTTTCTCAGACATAACTACTTACTGATTTCCAGAATACGTTGCAAGAACCCTCAGCAGATTTGGACAAAATGGGACATACACTGGAGAGGCTTGTTGGCCCTTCTACGCTACAGCATGGAGCAGAATTATAAAGTTTCAGAATCCTCTCAGTGCCCAGGATGCCAATTCATCATGGAAAGGGGGGCGAGTCTTGGGTCCCAGGAGATGATTGGATTCCAGCCCCTCTAGGTGGGTTAGGTATTATTAGGTTCATTTTAAAAGTGAAGCGACCATGGCCAAGAGAACATAACTGCCCCAGGTTGCACAGCTAATGAGTGGAGAATAGTAATAATATCTAACATTTATTAGGTGTTTACTATGTGCCAAGCACTGTTCTACATTAGCTGACTGATACGTGTAACTAGGAGGTCGGTATTATTCTCTTGTTCCTATTTGGAAGCACAGCAGGACAAGGCAGCTTTCCCATGCCCACAGCATTGGTGAGTGGCAAAACGAGAACTTGAATCCAGGCTATCGGGCTCCAGAATCCACACTCTTAATCGCCCTTCTAAAACCTTGACTTCCACCTCCTGCCAAAAGAGGATGCCCCACACACCAGAATCACGAAGTGTGAAGGCGTGTCAATCCACGTGGTTGGTGGTCTCAGTAGAATGTATTATGTACTTTACCCTCTAAGATGACACAGAAGACTGACTTTGCAAAAAACTTAATGAGAATGACCATGCTTTTCCCTTGTTGTAATTTAGGAAAAAGGCCTAGAGGGGCTGCTTAGAAAAATCAGGGGAAAATTCTTAGCTGGTTTTTCTGCTGGTCACAATCAAGACACAGAATCCTCTGACCTCAAATACATCCAGAGGCTTTCCAGCTTGCTCCTGCAATTCCCCTTCATTCAGGAAGCACGAATCCTATCACAGAGGCATTTTCACCCAACAGGCATTATTAAGTACCTACTGTGTACAAAGCTCCTGGGATACAGATGAAGAAACTCCAGCCCTCCAGCTTCATGAAATGTGTAGCTTAATAGGGGAAATCAGCCAAGAAAGAGGTGATTCTGTTCATAGACTGTAACCAAGTACTCTATACCCCAGACCCAGTCTGAACAGCATTAGGTGGACGTAAGACAATTTTGAATGGAAGCAAGCAGTGAACACCTAAATAGGATGATCGAGAAAGAGCCACACAGTAGTTCAAGTAGAAATCTGAATATTGACTCTCTTTCAGGCCACTGGTTCTCACGACCATGAAAAATATTACTACTTCTGGTCATTTAGGAAATTGAAAAATGTTTCACACTATAATGTTCAAATAAGCAACCTACACATTTAATCTTAGTTGGTTTGAAAAAATGATTCCATTTAATGCTGTAACATTTGCAGGGGAGTGGGGTGGGGAATAATCACTTCTCTTGGATGTTATTTATCCCAGCGTCTTATTCTGTTATAAATACTTAAGCACCTACTACCCAAAACCGGGGACAGCCAAGACTAAGACTGTCACCTTTACAACTTCACCTGATTGTCTTTTGTTCTAACCTCAAGACACTTAAGCTCTTTAATAGCTACACTTGAGCAGAAAGCCAAGTAAAAATGATCTACCTTAGACCACTAAGTTAAAACAGACACGATAAATAATTAGGTAGCATTTGACCCACATGATGTTCTTTGTAACTATTTGTTAAAAAACAATCAGTACCCAGCTACTTGAAAATGGAGCATAGTATGTATTTGTGTGCATAATTTACTACCTGTGAATTTTCCATGTTCCTCTCATCTCACTATCCTCTCAGATTGAGGCTGCAGCCAATCGTATCTCGTGGCAATAAGAACATTAGTCCAACAAAGAGGTGCCTGGCAAGATAAGCCTTAAAAAGGTGATTGCAACAAAAAAAGGCACATCACCTCATGGGAGCAGCATTAAAAACTTAAAAAAATAAATCAGTTTGCAGAAGTTGGACGCTGCCTGAAAGGAAAACTTCCTAGAGCCACTTCCCCTCACCCTGTGTGGCCTCCACCACCCCTACCCTTCAGCTTAGATAATTCCTTCCCACATTTTAATAAAGCCCTGAAAAGCAAGGAAAAAGTAAAGCAAATGAGATTACATTTCACAGGGTTAGGCTACTTAATTCTCCTGTTTCTCTTTATCCAATTTATTTCAAGTTCTGGGCTTGAACTGAATGACTAATTGCTTCCAGCTTCCTGAAGTGGTTCAGCTAGGTTCTTGTGACCGTTGCTTGAGGTAGCAAGTAGAAAGTGGAGTTAAAATTAGTAAGGGTAAGAGTGTAGAAACTATTACTGTGAAAGGAAAAAGTTCAGAGCATTAGACTGGGGAAAAGTAAGTAAACTATGAATAAAGGTATGAGTGGGAGTGATGGGTGGAGGTGGGATTTGGGGGTTCAGGAAGTATGTTTTAACTTCCCAAATGAAGGTGAGATCTCAGAAAATTATGACATCACGAGTACTCCAAAAGGCATTTGTTAATGAGGGAGAAGCCATACGGAAGGAGTGTAGGTTATAAAAGAATTTGGGTACAATCATATTGTTGGGAGGCTGAATGGGACTTCAGAAATATTAGACATCAATGAGCTCACCCTTCTTATTGTAAAGAGGAAGGCATCAGGAGTCAAGAGAGGCTAACTCACTGGTACCAGTCCACACTGCTCAGGCATAGCAGCAAGATGGAAACAGGTGTCCGGACCCCTGTCCACCCCTCATCGCAC